GGGGAGGGAGGGGCTAGGTGGGGAGTGGAGGGGCTGGGTGGGGAGGGGACGGTGGGGAGGGTGGGGAGGGGCTGTAAACAAAAAATGCTCGAGCTAAGGCAAACACTTATTGCGTAGTCGGCAGGATTTGAACCTGCGCGGGGAGGCCCCAATGGATTTCTAGTCCATCAGCCTTAACCGCTCGGCCACGACTACCTTGCACTTGCACAGGTGGAGGCCTTGCCGAGACTCGCGTGGCATCGGAGCCATCAACAGCAGCTGCCACAGCACGGGGAATGCGTGCAGCTGTGCAGTGTCAGAGCCCGCTGTGGACCTCCACACTGTCACAGTCTACTTGACCTCTACAGTGTTGATGCACTGACGAAGCTTGAGGATTGCGGTGATCGCCATCAGCCATTTTATAATCATTATCATCATCAACCTTTGTCTCTTATTAATCACCACCACCACCAGGAGCAGCATCAACAGACATTTCATAATTGTCTTCACCCTCAGTCTCACATGCCCTTTGGATTGCACTCCCATGCTCATATGTCCTTTGGATTGCACCTCTAATGGTACTAATCTCTCATTTACACTGCTGTTGTGCGCATATGCGGGCATGATACTCGTATGTGGCGACGGAAGCTCATTCATGCTAATCCCCTCCCTAATCCCTCTATCCCTAATCTCCCCCATTAACACAACTGACGTGCTTACGTCCGTGGATGGAATTCCTTTCCAGCTCAGACCCCGCTTGCTTGTCCATCGCAACATATATAACGTCTTGCTGTAACAGCTCTCTCGCTGGTTCAGCAGTTCCACTGCTGGATTGTATTTTTGCCGCCTGAGGACGACCGCTTGTGTTGCGATCGAAACGTCGTGATTAATTTTATGTTATACCTACGTGACTTACCGAGAGCTCCAAAGAGTATGGATTCCTGCAGTCACGAAAGCTTCAAAATCAAGATTGTCTTCATTAGTTGCAGCACTCGCCATTGTATATATTGATCATCTATTATCCATTGTCCATTATGATCATCAGTCACCTCGTTCATATTTACTATCGGCCAAGTTTTGTTAAATTCTCAATCCTCATCATCCGTTATCCGTCTTCAACATCATCAGCATTATCATCAACAGCAACCATTGTCTTTTCACTGCGCGATGAAGGCTGCTGATGCCGTTGCTACTGAAGCTGATTATGATGATTGATAACAGAACCTGGCTATTGATAATGACGGACAGTACAGGATGACGATCGTCATCATCATCATGGGTGGATGGATAGCGATTGAATTTCCACAGGTGTGCGGTCAGTTACGCCCATGTGAAGTTGCCCGTGCAAGGTAGTCGTGGCCGAGCGGTTAAGGCGATGGACTAGAAATCCATTGGGGTCTCCCTGCGCAGGTTCGAATCCTGCCGACTACGCAATAATTTTGTTTTATTTATTTTCCACTTTTCTTTTCTGAAAGCACGTGCAGAATTTGCAGAGAGACTCGTGATGATGAGATGAGCAGAGATGACGGACGATGGACGAGACGGGTGATGAAAGGGCAGCATAAAAGGAGCAAAACTCTCATGAGAGGCGACCGCTGATGAGAACGGAGAGTGAGATGATGGTTTGAAACGGACGGTGTCAACCGAACTAGTCCGTTATCCAGCAGTAGATAGATCACGCATGATGATTTATAAATGGCTCAATCCGCCTATCTGGCCTCTCTATGTGATATGCAGAAGAATCATTGCAGGAAACTTCAGCTGTTAAATATTGTTTAATACAGGTAGGAACAACAGTTCCACACTGCCCACCAGGGATTATTTGTCTGTCTGTCGTGCATGGCCCCGCCCCACCAGAGCCCTCCCATTGGCTCGGGGGCGCCGACCAATGGAAGCGGTGGGTTGGGGTTGGTAGAGGGGGGGGGGGGTTAGTGGTGGGGGGGGGGGCACCGCCGCGACTCGGGCCAATGAGGAGACGGGCGATGTTTCATTCACAAAATGGAACTGGGGGAGGGTGGCTCCATTCATAAAATGGAAGCCTTGAAAATAAAAAAGCGGATCTTTTTGCCTCGTGTTTCTTTCAACATTCCCAGCCTTAATGTGATTCAGTTGGGGGTGGGAGGGGTAGGGCTGGGTGGAGAGGGGAGGGTGGGGAGGGAGGGGCTAGGTGGGAAGGGTGGGGCTGGGTGGGGAAGGGACGGTGGGGAGTGGCTGGGTGGGGAGGGTGGGGCTGGGTGGGGAGGGGCTGGGTGGGTGGGGCTGGGAGGGGAGGGTGGGGAGGGGCTGGTTGGGGAGGGGCTGGGTGGGGAGGGTGGGGGGTGAGAGGAGTGGGGCTGGGTGGGGAGGGGCTGGTCAATCTGTGGTGCCCTTATAAAACTCAACGTTTAACCTACACACTACAGTATATACGACACGATACACTACACTACACTTATACAGGTAGGAACAACAGGTTCCACACTGCCCACCAGGGATTCTTTTTATGTCGTGCACGTATGCGCTGTCCTACCAAGTTCCTACCTGCCCACTTCGAAGGAACATGTCCACTTAACTCACTTCATTACCAGATTTAATTTTTTTAAATGTATAAAAAACATATATACACGCAATGCAAACTAAACTGGTTATGAAATTCAGCCAGTCCTCACCGAATCGCAAAATAAAAACACGTTCCTTCGGAGTGGGCAGGTAGGAACTTGGTTGGACAGCGCATTCGTGCGATCCGTGTCGCGCGGCGCAAGCTGCGTGGGGTGGCGCGTCACGTGGTGCTGAGCCCGCCCGAAGCGCTCTATGAAATACAAATCGAGGACGTGGCTATGCACGACAGACAGACAGACAAATAATCCCTGGTGGGCAGTGTGGAACTGTTGTTCCTACCTGTAATATGCATTGTCATATAATACTCCGTAAAGTATATTTTATTGGGGGGGGGGGGTTAATTTATATGCTTCATGTTCACCTAAAAATGCATTAATTTGTTTTACCTTTTACAAGGAATATATTTGCTTTTTGGACAAACTGAATCACCTTAAGGCTGGGAATGTTGAAATAAACATGAGGCAAAAATATCCGCTTTTTTCTTTTCAAGGCTTCCATTTTATGAATGGAGCCATCCTCCCCCAGTTCCACCACTAACCCCCCCCCCTCCACCAACTCCAACCCACCGCTCCCATTGGTCGGCGCCCCCGAGCCAATGGGAGGGCTCTGGTGGGGTGGGGCCATGGTATGCACGACAGACAAATAATCCCTGGTGGGCAGTATGGAACCTGTTGTTCCTACCTGTATAACACAACTCTCAGCACACAATACTCGGCACACAAGTTCACTGCAACTCAGATTCCATAATTGTGCCAGCTTTCAGTAGTCAGCCTCTTTGAGAGTTGTGTAGTGTGACTCAACTGTAATGGTGACCCCAAAGTCCCTCGAAATGTGCACACTTTTTGTGTTTAGTTTGTTGTCCTTGCCCCGCACCTCCGATTAACACGATTGGCTAAGTACGGTGTGAAAGAAGTTCAAACATGCATACGCACACACAACCACATCTCATTGCACAGGCACTTACGAATGAACCGCCATAAGATGTTACTAATTTTAACCATCTGACTTGTGAACGTCCAGTCGTGTGTACGCCCCAAACAGCTGAACTATTTTGTTCGGCGGACCGATCCACCGCGATATGTTAATCAGTCCCAGAATCCCGCTCAGAGTGTGTGTTCACTTACACGTGTGTGTAAGGGATTGTGTGCGTTTTTGTGTAGTGTGGAGCAGTAGTGTAGCGGTTAGCGCACTCCGCTACGCTCCTGACGACTCGGATTCGATTCCTCGCTCACAGCCAACACCAGTGACGATTATCTGAACCGGTCCTGGGACTCCCTTCGGTCGCCTCAGCCTCAAATGAGTACCTGATGCGTCTCTGTAAATATCGCCACGAGGGAGACAAAGGTGGCCGGGCATGGTGTTGGCCACCCACCCCCTCGTGTGACGTGCCGGCCTTCATAGGTGCTTGCTAACAGCACTTGCCCCACCAGTCTGTTAAGGGTATACAGGGGATCGTGTGTGCAATTGTGGGGACTCAATGCGCCCCTTCCAACAAGCAAGCGAGCATGAGGACTCGAGGTAAATGAAAGTAAAACTGATTATTTTTCTTTTCGTGCTACTTTGCTTTGTTTTATTTACTTTATAGTATGTATTACAGTGTGACATGCAAATGTGCAACCTTTATTATTGAGTGTCCCTCTTTTGTTGAACCACAAGATGTTTTATGTACAGTACGTACAATTACATATTTAGTTCCAAGATATGAACAAACCCACTTACGAATGGGTCTCTGGAACGGAACCTATTTGTCGGTTGAGGACTGCCCGTATTGCGCATAGCAGACACCGGCCTCAGTGTGGCGTTACCCCTCATGATTGTACTCAAGGATGCTCTCCAATTTCTTGTGTGCGTATAAACTCCTTAACTTTCAAACTCAACTCAACAAAAATCCCGACCTCTCCGGTACGCTTCTCTCACCGCGGCGCTTGTGGTGCCACGACCACGGAGCAACTCTGCAAACGCCGCAATCCCCTCGCGGCCCCCACCCTGAGCACACGCACACAAGCAGCACTTGCACCCACGTAGTGTCCTAGTGGGGGATTGCCTGGCACATCGGGTTTTAATCCGAAGGGTCCCTAGAGGGAGAGTCCCATGGTTTCCCGGTGCCAGGAGATTGGCCGACCCTCACAGGACAGGTTACATTGCGGTGCCCCTAAATTGGCTAAAATTGTATGGGCGCAAAAGAAAAAGGTTCACTGGGCCACGACATTGGGAGAGGTGGAGGATGGAATATTAGGCAAGAAGGGCAGACCAGTAGGTTAGAATTAATGAGCACGGGAGAACAATGGGTGAGCGGAGCAGCAGCACACTCTGTAGCACTCCATGTAGACGGCGCAGGTAAGCGTGGTATATCGATGCATTCCGACCCTTAAAAGTCAAATACAACACATGTTTATCACAAATAATTGATTTCTCACACGTCGTGAATGCAATCATATATTTTTTAATCAGATCTTTTGAGCCTCTTTATTCCGCGAGTTAGGCGAGGAGAGGCTCTGCAAACAGCTGAGCGAAGACAACGATGGGCATGGTCAGGAGAAGGTGCAGCCAGCTCCCGTGGGGGTGCACGCTCGGTGCTGCCCCCTTATCTCCGGACTTCGTGGTGGGTTTCGTGGTAGGTGTCGTGGTGGGTTTCGTGGGGTTGCAGGGTGGCGCCTCGGGGTCCGCAGGGATCTCGGGGATTCTCTGATAAGGGAAATACTGGTACCCATTCTGCGGAGGTGTTGAGAGTGGGAATGGGTGAAGGGGGTTTGAGGAATATAGAAGGTAAGCAGGTCAATATGATTCTTACATCTCTGTAATATGTTCTGTGCGTCTGGGGAGTGGTAGTGTAGTGGTTAGCCCAATGTACTACAACGCGCTCACGGCCAACACCAGTAACGATAATCTGAACAGACCCTGGACTTCCCTTAGGTCGACTCAGCTTCAAATGAGTACATTGTGCAATGTGTAAACATTGCCACGAGGGAGGCAATATCGGGCGTAGTGCTGGCCACCCACCTCCTCATGTTCCTTGCCAGCCTTTGTAGGTGCTTGCTAATAGCGATTGCCCTAACAGTCTGTTAATATGCGGTTCATTGTGAACCCCATCAGTAGTCTCCCAACATAGCCCCCCTCTCGCTCACACTCACCGTGTCCATGTGCAGCGCGTAATGGTTGGCCGTTTGCGCCGCTTTTTCCACAGAGCGGATAGTCTGTTCCGTCCAGTTCACGTTGTCGTAGACGGTGAAGATCGGCTTCCCCTTGTCCGCTTCGGGGGTTATGACCATGTGTGGGAAATCACTGTGAGGTGGGCAGATAACACGCGGAGTATAAAGCATGTTGGCCTTCCGACGCGGTGTGGGAACTTCAGCATTAATCGGCAATCAAGAATGCACGTTGCTGGCTTATCTCAACTTATATGGATTTACCAAGCCTCCCAATCCAAGGCGCTTTACAACAATTACGAAAGTGTACATAAGATAGTGGTGTAGTTATGGTGAAAGGAGGACAGGTGGGAGTGGTTAAGGAGGAGGGGTTGGGGCAGTGATAGGGGTTGGGGTAGTGATAGGGGTAGTCATTGGGTCTTTCAGTAGCTTTACCGAAAGACCCAAAGAATATAAATTCCTGCAGTCACGAAAGCTTTAAGTCAAGATTTTAGCTATAAGGCTTTTAAAGGGCTCACCCCACATTACTTGCAGGAACTAGTACATTTATGTATTCCATCAAGGTCCTTAAGATATTCTGATCTTCAACTGCTCAGCGCTCCCACAGGTCTAGGTTGCACTCTTTTAGCGATCGGGCTTTTGTTAGTGTGGCACCCAAGCTATGGAACGCCTTGCCACTTGAAATCGGGCAATATATTGAAGTCTGCTTTGAAAACCCATCTTTTTAAAGTGGCCTCCCTTCTTTAGTTTGGTCGGTTGCCCTGCTTCTGTTTTTGTTTCCTGCTTTTTATGCATTGCGCATTGGGATCCTAGGATGGAATGCGCATTATACATTTGAATTATTATTATTTAGTTTGACCAGGTGGGAACTCGAGGGGCCAGAGACTCCAAATCTCTGTGCAAATGGAGGTAGTGTCTGAAAGGGGCACAAAGAACACTGGAGAGATGCACGCTTAGGATGACACTGAGACAGAAAAGAGTAACAAGTGGATTAGTGAACATACACAGGTTAGATACATAATCTTGACCGTTACAAAAAGTAAGTGGGCTTATCGCCAACCAAAAATACATACATAAAAAATGAATTATGTCGACCAATAGATGATACAAGCACTGTATATCTATTATAAGGTTAAATCGACATGGGTAATCGGTGGTCAAAGGTTTTTGATGGATTGCAGAGCCTGTTGAGATCGACAAATAAAGATCACAGCGTTCGGTATATTAGTCAACGCTGATATATACCATCCGATGAATCATTCCACCACAACTCACGGCATGACGGTGTATCCAAGGGCGGGCGCCAGCTCCGTCATGTTGACAACGCTGAGGCATTGCGACACGTTCACCTTGGGGTAGTAGTGCAGGAAGCCGAGGCACATCTCCTCCTGGGTGCTGAGCCCACCCTGTGGGGAGAAAGGCGTAAGAGATGGGATCATGGGGTAGAGAGATTGTGAGACGTTGTTGGTGGAGAGGAGGGCAGGAGGATCCCAGCACTTGTGTCGGTAACGCTTATCAGGGTTGGCTACGTACGGTGCAAAAGAAGTGCAACATACGTACGTTTCTTTAATACACCATATAACATAATTCATACTTGGAGGCGTGTAGATTTAATTTACCGTGGTTGTCGTGGCTTTGTCCTTGCTGTTGTAGAGGCACTCTGTGATGATGAAATCGCCCTGAAATCAAACGCAACAAAACATTGGGGTGAAACACAAGGTCCTCAAAAAGTAAAAGAATCAACCATGCTCGTGTATAATTCATTATTTATGAACTCACGATGCATGCATTGAATCATTGGCATGAGAATAAATTATTGTCTTATTTGCATATGTTGTCTGTGATTGGCTAACGCGAACCCGGCAGACACTTGCAGCGCAATATACTACACCACAATGTTTAAAAAATATATATACTTGAATCAACGTGACCCTCGATCAATTACAATTCATTCTTTCGCAAGCGAGGCGAATTGATACCTGCCGATTATGTAAGGATGTCAGACATACTTGGATAGCGTGTTTGTAGGACATGGGGGTGACCATGGATATCATAAACACCACAACCGTCACGAGGGGGCGCTACTGCGCAAGGCGAGCAATGCCATGGCTTGCTAGATGAGTAGATGGTGATTGGTTGGAAGGTTTGAAAGAGGGAGAGGGCGGGGATATTTGAAAGGAGGTCCGTTGTGGACTGTTATGAGGCGAGCAGAGATATTGGTTAGAAGGAAGAGAATGGGTGCAGATTGGAGTGGGGGAGGGAGAAGAGGATACAAGGGAATAGAGAGGGGGAGGAGGTGGTGCTTAGGAGATGGAAAGCAAGGGAGTTGTGTTGGCTGCTAGTGGGCACTGGACGTTGTTGTTGAGGTCAATAAACTTGATCCAAGAAGTGCGACATTCGGAGTCCTTCATTACACTTACAACGCTTGAGTAGTAAACCTGGTTTAAAAGGAGTCTTCTGCGGTCACACAAATGGCAGCCGAACCTTTGGCCTACATGACTCGGTATTTGAATTTTATAATTCTGCAGCTGGTCCCACTTGTGAGCGATCGTAATCGGCCCCCAAGTATTCACCGGCATCACGGAGACGAGCTTTTTCAGGTAGCGCGTTTCCTGGAAGTTGAAGTCGTAGCCCATGTCGCGACCCAGCTCGTCGATCTGCTTTCCAGCCCTGGCCAAAGCGACAGTGAACACTGGGTGAGTGTTGGACTGGGACCTGGTTTTCCAAATTGGCAGTGGTGTAGACTTTGCCATGGAGTGCAAGAATGGAATAGGTAAATGCAACAAACTCAACACATTCGTCAATAACACTGCTCAGCCTTAGAAGTAGAAGTATATGAATAGGCAACGTTTTGGGCAATGTATCTTCTTCAAAGGACATGAAGAAGAGCTGTGAATCAGGGCCGTTGCCCAAAAAGTTGCCGATCATATATTTTTTAATATATCGACGCCACATTTACACATTCACCAATCTTCTCAATTAAAATACAAACGAAATAATTGCATGCTGCGAGCGCCTGATGATTGCGTAAACACTTGCCGTGTGACGAACAGTTCACTGGTTCAAGCTGACACCGGTGCCACTTGAGTTGCAACCTTTTATCGCGTAAACTCTTAAAGCCTCGTGAACATCGCCGCATGGTGACGCTTTGTAAAAGACCAGAATGGGCGTATCATCAGCCTCGTGCTGCTCTTGCCACGAGCGTCGCACTCACCTGTAGTGCCGGAGCTGGACGGCCCTGCCCAGCAGGTGAGCATGCAGGAGCGAAGCGAAGACCTTCATCTCTCCGCTCTGCGTCGCCTGTGTGAACACAACGCCCATTTTTCTCTCCGGCCGTAGCACTCCACCGGTCAGGCCCACTCTTTTAGAGTGTTTGTTCCAATTAATGTGTTTCCTCTTTTTAAGTTATATTTGCAATCGAGCAAACAAATTAAATATATAACGTGGGAAGGGGGGGGGTCGCCGTGTCCGGCACGGACGAATGCATCTAAAGTAAAATGAACCTAGGCAGGAAAGAGAAGCAGAGGGGAGAGAGAATAGTTAAAGAGAAGAGGAAGGGGACAATGAGGAGAATGACGGGCATAGGTGTACGCAACGGGGCAAGATAGGCAAGATATCAACGGGTCACAAAAGAGGACTGCACCTGACACTAGTCGGTCAGCGAACCCTGCAAGAGGGGCCCAAGGGGTTCCAACACAGGCACCTCATAGAGCTGATTCAGCCAACCTTCACGGGCGAGTAGCTTAACAAGAGGTGTTCTTAACCCCAGGCCTCAAGGGCCCTGCCGTTGTTCAACGGTACTTCTACCACTGTCCACGTGTGCGCATCGCCAGATTTGATTGTCCCATTAACAGCGGCGGTGTTCATCATTCACACAATGATTGCCAGCCGTTGTTGGAATGATGACTGTGGGACTGGGGGCCATCGTGTATGGGCTCAGAATCTTACTGCATGAAACAGGCTTTCCAACCACCAACCCGGCCTGAGCAGCATGGCGAAGAAGCTCGAGTAATCGACCCCGATCCGGCATTGGATTGACAAAGATCCATACATCACTGGTGCTGGGTGGTCGTCGGGTGGTGTTGCTGTGCGGTTACCACTCGAGACATTGGGCGTGGGGGGGGGTTCGTAGGTACACAGGGACCAGGTGAGTGGATGTTGTCGGTCCTATGGGGCACCTCACCTCTCTACCTAGCATCACGCCCCTCGGACGTGGCATCGCGTCTCGCAGCGAGGTCCCGTTCTGATCGATGGTGGCGAATCCCTGGGTGGGACAGACGGCGTAGCTCGTGTAGGAGGAGGCTCCGGGCGGCACGAAGTGAAGGTTGTTGACACCGACGCCGGCCTGCAGCACTCCGGCGTCGTAGGCACGCAGCTGCGGCGTGACGTAGAAGCGCAGGCCGGAGCTGTCGATCACGTCTGGTGGTCGTTGTGAGCGCAAGAGGTGCGGGGGGGGGGGCACACTTCAAATCGCGTCGTGTTTTGCAAGGTTTTTTGTTGTTGTAAATCAACATCGGCTGTTCTTTATCGCAGTCCGTGACATGTCCCACTGGCATTTCTCTCCGTGCTTGCTATTTCCAGACCAACCTATTAGGTTTGCGTGTCCGTGATTTGCAACCAGTTAAATGTATAATCTTAAATTACATTTAATATATATATATGTAATGCTTAATTATTATTCGTGATAAATTAGTATTTTTCACTGTTTCCTTCAAAAAAGACAGGCACAATGGACTCTGGCCTGGTTATAAAGCAAACAAAGCCTAATCATTCATCAATAACACACTCCGCTGAAATAAATAATATGTATGAAAAAATAAGAATAGGTTTTACCCTTTCTGGCAATAAAACAGGCGTTACGGTGTTCAAACACCAAATGGAAACCGTTTGCTAAGCAATAAAGTCTGCATTAACCACACGTACTTGTGGTGAACATGCAAACAAACTTGCTCTGATAAAATAAATAACATATAAATGGTGATGTTCCGGGCAATGACCCTTCATCAGAGCACATGGTAACTCTGCCGATTGATAGTATTGTCAAATGTCAGAATAAGTATTATAATGCATCTGTGTGCATCTCGTGCAGTATAGAGTGGACACAAAAGGGAAAATGGGTGGTGATGATGATCATGATGGAGTCGGAATGGCAGGGAGGTGGAGACGATTTGGAGAGTAAGTGGCTCGAGAACAGGCGATGGTTCTCGGAAGGGCCTGGCTAACGAGCCATGCCACGCGCACAGGTGAGTGCGTCCCCCGTACCTAGCACCTGCCCGGGGTTTACGTAGTGCATCTCGATCAGGAAAAGAACGAGCGGGGCAATAGCCTGGAGTTTGCCATCAGCCGAAACTGGATTTGGAGCACGGATATTGCCAGATTGAGAAAATTCAAGTACGTTGAGTAACACAGTCAGGGCACAAGCGTTATTGGATTGTGGGTGTTCATATGGGATGAATTTATCCAGTGGTAGACCTCGAACCGGTGGTGGCAGTGGTGGCGATGAGTGAAGAGGTGGATAAATAGGGGAGTTAATGACCCGTCAATCCATTGACTGGCATGGATTGTTCAACCTTCAATACGTGCACCGAATCGGATAACAATCAATGTTTTTTCACGTCATATTTAGTGTGTTCATGCGATCCTTCCCCACATAGAGGCTGCTAAATGAATCGCAACACCCCTCCCCCCCTTGATTAGCGACACCATGCTTCAAGGTGCGTCCCGTACTTGACACGAGCCCGGGGTTGTCGTAGTGCATCTCGATCAGGACCATCTTGGGGTCCCCTTGCGCTCCTAGCGAGTACCCGGCCTCGGGGGGGTAGTCAAATGTCTGTAGCACAGGCACACAAAGACAAAGATGCCCCCGTATAGCCTTGTTAGCGATCACCTATGAAAGCCGGTAACGGTACACGAGGGGGTGGGTGGTCAGCACCACGTGGCTATGTTCACGCACCGCACCAGGTACTCATTTGAGGCTGAGTCGACCTAGGGGAGGGCCCAGCACCGCTTCAAACTCGGGTCACCGGGTTCGCAATACAGTGCACTAACCGCTACAACCACCGCTCCCCAAACAATATAAAGACAAAGATCACCCACATAGCCTTAACAAACTGCAGGAGCAAGTGCTGTTAACGGGCACCTATGAAGGTCGGGATGGCAGCACCACCGAACAACACACACAAAGTAACACCGTGCATGCGAATATGAGAATACAGATACGAACACACACACACACACACAATCGTCAGCGCAGATGTGCGATGGGCGACGCGTGTACATTCGTGCGTGCGGGGTTACCACGTACCCCGCCGCCAATGGCCCACGCGGCGAGCACGGAGGTGCAGGTGGAGAAGGAGTCGGGCATGTTGGGGTGGTAGCACTCGTGCGTGACTCCCACGTGGGACGCGTTCACGTTGTCCAGGCACACGTACACGAGAATGTGGTGCACGAACGCCTCGTTGCCGGCCTGGACAATGGGCTCCACCTGCACGCGCAGTGGAGGGGGTACACGCGTGAAGAACGCATGGGTGGACGTGCAACACACGGGACCAACTTTGACATTTTGTTTGCAAACTGTTGGACCAACGTTGGTCCAACGTTTGACTAACGTTAACGCAACGTTGATCCAACTTGGGGGCAACGTTGGTCCAACTTTACATGTTAAAGGGGACGAAGCATCAAAGCCACTCTCTAAAAGTCAATCGCCCTCAATGCACTGCAATATCGTCAGATATCCCAAGCCAAGTGGGATTGAGCCGAGTAAGTGCCTGATTTGGTGGGTGACTGCTTAGGAATACCAGCTCACTACATGTACAGGCTGATACTGCGAGGTGGCCAGAATATTGGAGTGTGTCAGCTTGTACAGGGTGCTCCAGATGTCTTGTGACTCCCAATTAATTGGGAGTCACAAGACATCTGTTTTGGATAATTCAATGTGGGTTACAAAACATCTGGGCCACCCTGTACATATAAGCCTGCTGTAGATGCTCTAGTCTCCTGCCACATTCCAAACACTTAATAATGTCACTTGCCCAACATCCCAATGCAACACCCTTCCGATTAAAGAGTCTTGAGACTCACATATTTTGGGGGGTTTTTTTCCAGGTGAGTTGGGGAAGCTCTTTTTCAGTGGCCACGCGGCCAACACGGCAGGTAAGGTAGCAGGCCAAGTTACACGGGAAGGGCAGGGTTCAACACATCCATTTAAAAATTCATCATGAAGGACAAAAAGCTAAATACCTCGCGTCGTAAATGTTACACTCCGCTACCGTGTCAGGTGACAACGTTGTGACACAGGGTGTTGCAATGTCAACGGGCCAAAAACGGTGATGATGACACGTGCCCACTCCCCGCCTTTCCCACAAACACGCTCCCCCCCAGCTCCATCGCACAGCAAGCGACATCAGTGGAAGTGTGCGTGCAGTGTTTTCCCCGCTGTGAACCTTGATGAGGTGATTTTTCTTGCTGAGTTTGGGCAGAGAGACGAGCTTGCACGCGTAGTAAGTGGAGGCGGTCGGGATCGTGTACTGGAAGCGGACACGGCGAGGGGAGACAGAGAAAACAGAAAACGAAACTATTAAAAACGATGTTTTATTTTTACCAACAATATAGCTATATTTTCAGACGCGACCTGGCCACAAATGATAGCTCAGGCAGTGGCTTATGTGGACATTTACAGCAGCTAAATGCTCTAACCGCATGTTTGTAAATGTGGAGGGAAACACCGGAGGACTCGGAGAAAAATCCACACGACCCACGACCTCCTGCATACCAGTCGAGGGAGTTAACATCTCGCCACCGCAGCGCACCACATAACACAACAGCTGCCGTTCAGACTGCCTCGTCGTGCCCTCGTCTCTCATTACGCAAAAATAAATGTCGTTTATTTTTAATGCAATTAGTCAAAAATTACTTTTGAATATAATCGAAAAAAATTACTTATGGATTGATTTACGTGTTAATATAACTGATTTCCCAGTTAACATACAACGTTGATCCAATGTCAACCAACGTTGACTTACTCAACATGACATGTTTGTTGGGTTACTGCCCGTTTCTTATCAGTGGGGGAAAAAAATATCCAGCAACGAACCCAACGGGGCCATGGAGTGTAAGCGCCGAGACTTATGGCACTGACCCCCAACGTGCAAACAGAATCAGAATATTTATTTATACTGGAGGAATCCAATGAGGTATAAAGCTCGTTTTCACATGTTCAGCAGGGGCGGGTTAGAACGTTACAACAACATAAACACACGATATGAGTGCAACGTATAGGAAAGGTAAACAAATCTATTTAACAAAAAATACAAATAAAACCAAGCAAAGTCAATCTTATCAGATACAGCCCACTGGGGTGTTCACTTATTTTTCAAAAGTGACCTGGCCACGAATGATAGCTCAACAGAGTGGCTTATCATGTGGAAATTTACAGCAGCAAAATAATCTAAATAATGCCGTCCGTACGGGGGATATTCACCCGTGCGTGATTTGGGGCTCACACACACCTTGTCAAAAGCCAGGTTAAAGGAGTCGTGATCTGGAGGCAGGGGCTGCTCGGTGGCAGATCCGTGGCTCAGAAGCTGAACGCTCTTGGAGCCCCGCGTGGTCGCGCCGTGGTACTGGATCTGAGTCTCGCTCGCTGGGTCTTCACCGCTGTAGGCCCAGATCAGACGCACCGTGTCCTCCTGCACGAGTGGACACACAGACACACACGCAGGTCAACAAGGCTTGATGATTCAGAACATTGCTGGGTGTGAACATTTGAGAACATTTTAAGGGGAGGTGGGAAGGCGTCACGTTCAGTTATTACTGCCACCACTGCGAGAACCCTTGTCGGTGATGACATTGCTCAGTGGTGGCGTGAGACGATGGGAAGGTGTCTGCTGTTAACGCTGCAGGATACGGACTCTTTAAGTGGACTGCTTGACTCAGTAAATGTGTACGTGCGGTACAGGGACTCCTCTACTTTCAAACATTTGACATACGAACTTTCAGAGATACGAACAAACCTATCCGTAGAAGTTCAACTGCCACGTAATGAAGAACCAGTCGCATCTACATTTACAGGAGATTATACAACGTTTAATGTAATTTCTGTGTTTAGTGTACATGCCGTACAACATGTTAGGAATCGACAGAAGGAAAGAAATCGACTTACGAACAGACCTCTGGAACCTAACTCGTTCGTAAGTAGAGGAGTCCCTATAGTTAGTAATGGGGACATTTTAATGGACAACACTAACCAGTAATACTGAAGGGGGAGGAGGCGGCCGCTGTAGATTCTATGTGCACCACAACGGAATTAGTTTTACTGTTTTAAGACGAAATAACTTCCAGTAATCGAATCGACAATACAGTTATCTGGGTCAACCACCTCGTGTAACGTTCTAGTTGTTGCCCTGTATCAACTTGAGTCATGAAAAAAACATTGAGTAGGTCAAGTGTTACTTTTCATCACAAATACTCTCGCGTCTTAATTAACTTAGCTGCTCCACCCAACTGTAAATGTTTTTGATTCATACGTTTGTGAACATATTTCGGCTTACATTTTGAGATAAACGACACTTTGCATTCCTTGTCAAATGACTATCCAGTGAATAATAAACGGATCCCTGCTTTTCCGATGTGCAGCTGTGCAAGGACACAGGCCACATTTGATCACGTTGTACGTGTGTACAATCGGCAGGAAGATCTGCAAGAGAGATATAAACAATACTGCACAGGATGAGAGCCGGGGGTCATGCCTTCGAGCATGATGCGCTCGTGTGTGTGCTGTGTTTGCAGACGTCGCAATGATTTGTGATTTGTCACGTGACACTCTCGCTCTCAAAATGTGATTCGATTTTTGGGCTCGGATCGCGTAAGTAAAACGAAGTGTCGCCAACCCTCCTCCCCCAGACACGGCCAATTAATTCTCGCAACTGGCTGACGATGTAACTGCCAGCGAAACTTCGTATCCAATGTGTTAAAATGTTGCGTGGATCGCTCTCCAACAATATGGGTGGTGCTGCTGCTGAAAATCAGTGATACATTGACACGTGTATTTGTCACGTGAACACGTTCTTCACTGGCGGTGTCGGGTGGCGGAGGGTTGACGAAACACGTTTTACTTACGCGATCTGACCCGAAAATCAATTACGAATACAAACAGGCGCGGGTTACAAGGTTATCACAAGTCTCTTCATGAAACAAATAAAACTCAAAACATTCGCCAATAACACCGTGGCCTTAAAATGAAAATAATTTAATTGGTGACGTTTATGAATGTCGCATATTTTATATAGCAATCTCTTTCAGGCCAAAGAGTTCTTTATGAATGTTGTTTGTTGTTTTTCTTGTGCCTGTGGACTGCCGACAACGCAGCAGCATCACCAGATTATTGTTTGATTACACACTTTGTGTTTAACTGAATGGTTTACACAGGACAATATGTCTGCACTTCTTATATATAGATTTATTTTATGACCAATAGCTGATGTATTGCCTTGTGTCGATGGCACTGCTCCATCGTGAAGCGAAGCTCGTGAAGGATGGGCGGTACGGTTTATTGCCAAGTTTACGATGCTTGTTGAGTGTGAAAGTGACCATTTTCGGCATTTTAAAAGCCTAAGCTCGCATTCCTCAAAAGATAATTGTGTTTGTTCGTCAGTATATTCAGAGTATTGCACCTGGATTATGGTCGACCTTCGCGTGACTTTTCAGCCCTTACCCCCATGTAAGCTCTAGTAGGATACCGTCGAATTAAAATCGTTGTCACATTTCCGCCAATTGCGTCCCGATTGTGCCACGACTCACGGCTTCACGCCACGAGACGGAGGGTCCTATCAGATGCCTCCTTTCTTTGAGTGACCTGTGGTCTACACATGGAGTCTAAGAGGGTAGCACTAGGTCGACTCAGCCTCAAAATGAGTGACTGGTGTGATGTGTAAAGATCTCCACTGGGGAGACAAAGGCGGTCCGGCATGGTGCTGGTCAACCACCCCCTCGTGTGCCGTTCTGGCCTTCACGGGTGCTCGTTAACAGAACTTGCCCGAACGGCATGTTAAAGGCTATAAGGGGGGATCTTTGTATTTGTCTGTATGCGTGTGTACATGTGTGTGTGTACACGTGTGTGTACACGTATGTTTGTGTACACGTGTGTGTGTGTACACGTGTGTGTGTGCACGTGTGCGTGTGCAACACCCACGGTGATGTCCCTGTCGTTGGCGTCGCACGTGCGCAGCGCGCGCACCACGCGCATGACCGTGTGGGTGCCGTTCTCGCTGAGCCGCACGAGTTTGTAGTCCTGGCTCGCGTCCCGCACCAGGCTCCGCTCCCCCTCGATGTGTCCGTCCTGACCGCACAGCCGCAGCCCAGGTGGGGGTGGGGGGGGGTGGGAGAAAGGGGATGAAAAATGGACCAAGGTGAGAGGCGACCTGGCCACACATGACAGCTCATCGACAGTGGCTTATATCATCACCACACGTGGGAATTCATAGTAGTAGCCAAATAAGTTTAAACGCGTCAGGGTCCGGGATTCGAACTCCACTGCCTCCTTCATAGCAGGCGAGGGAGATGGCATCTCCATGTCAAACGCGGCACCCCAATTGTCGTGCGACCTTCCCATTGAAAGCACTCCTGCCTTGTTTAAATAGGCACAGGAGTTGGACGCACACACACGTGGCGGTCCTTGTGTTTGCAGTTTTCTTTTTAGGAAACTGCAAACACGGAGATGAGATTTCCCCTAAAAACTATCACCGTTTGAGTGAAGGTTTTTTTTTTAAGGAAAGCGATGAGCCAGATGAAAACAACTTTGAGTAAAATTGTATCGCACTGATGATGACAGCACACACATTGGGAATACCAGGTATCGCAGGGCTTAGGCTGTGATGGATTCGTAAATCCATGTGTGCTGAGGTTTTAAGTGTTCGTCCGCTTGTGTGCGTGGTGGATTATCTCTCTCTCTCTCTGGGTGATCTGGTTTCTTCGCATCCACACAAGCCAAACACCCATTCATAAAAGCGGCCAAACACTCAAATGCAGGAGCCGAAAAAAGTGTTGAAGCTCAGGGAGTGTTTCCATGGTTGGAAGAATGTCATTAGTCATCTCTTTGGTTTTGGAATGGAACCCGAGTTATGGGTTGATGCAGGAGGGTTTATGTGGGCGCGGAAAGGATTCTCGTGTGGGTTTAGAGGCAGCGTGGCCACGCATTACACCAATTACATCACCACTACAACCACCACAATTATCATTACTACCATCACTATGTCACCATTACCTAGACTACCATCATCACTACCATTGTAAACTAAACATCATCACTGCGTCACCATTACATAAGTTACTTTCATCACGTCACTTTCACCACTACCAACACCATGGTACCATCATCATCGATACCACAACTAACAGCAGCACTATCCTTATCATTATCACCCATCATCATTGTCGTCATCATCATCGTAACCAAGGCCACCTCATCCACAATTATTAATACCATCGCCATCACGGCAGTATCTCAGTCATCAAGACGCCTCCAACAGGGGGGTGGGGTCAATATAAGGAGAGAGAGAGAGACAGACAGACAGAGAGCCTACGCTCTGGAAAACACCGGGGAGTGTTGTGGTGAGTGGACAGAGGACCGCGTTGCCCGCGGCTCGGCACTCACCACGAGATGGGTAGCGGCTGCGCTGTCCACCCACCCGACCACCACGTCAGAGCCGGCCATCATCCCCGTGGAGCTCAGCCCCAGGCCGACCCAGCCCCGGGTGCGAACCCGAGCCTCCAGGACGATCTGGTCGCTGTCGAACGCCCACGAGACGTGGAATTTGTCCGGAGATAATTCGGTGCTGAACGTGAGGTCGGCGTCAGGATCCAGGGCACAGGACACCCCCACGGCCATCATCACCACCGCCATCACCACCGTCGTCATCCTCGCTGGCAGGTCGTGGCGAGGCATAATTACTCGTCTGATAATTGATGAAAAATTTACTGTGGTAATTAAATAAAACAATACTTTGACAATACCAAATTACAGATTTTTTAAATTACAGATTGCGTCGCAACTTCTTCACTTATTGATTCGAACACAATTGTCAGCTGCTGCTGCCTCCGCTGTGGACCCTGGTTTGATGGCTCACCACCTCTGCGAGCTCGCATTGTCGAAGCCTAACTTTTTATAAGGCACCTTCCAAGGTCGTGTCGTAATGTCGAGTGGGGCGGGGAAAGAATGAGGGCTGACATGCCATTGTATGCAATATCTTAATTACTCACCCACCCACTCACTCTCCACGGACCCATTGCTGTCAGCCCCTCATAAGTGCCTGCCTTACTACAGACCGCATTGGTCACCCCGTGCCGTTATACATCTCAACGTTCATCCTACAAAGTTCCATCACCAGGGAGAAACACAAACAAATTGACAATTTTTTTTTTCCCATATTGAAACGGTTGTACGCCGTCTGGACCTTAAAACTCAATTTCCCTGGACAAGAACACGGGTAAACCGTATGGGTTTACAGGTATGCGGACAAAACACCGCCCGTAAAGTCTTTAACAATCAAGAAAGAGTTTATACTCTTAGGTTTTTTCGGTAAAGTCACGCACCGAAAAAACCTAAGAGTATGAATCCTTGCAGTCACGAAAGCTTCAAATCTAGAAGAAAGAGTTTACATGCTGTTGAAGTTCTGTTAGCGAGCCACCTATGAAGCATGCAGTGGAGAAGTGCTGTAGCCGACTCGGTCAAGAGGGTTGAAGAAAAACAGGGAGAGAAAAAAACGCCGATCAACATCAGCAGCAACACCAGCAGCGGCACGACACGACACAAATCCCGTGAAGCTGACGAGCAACTCAAACCCACAGTGCGGCCGATGCCTCCTGTTCAAGGGCTGGGCTCTCATCCCATCAGCGCTGTCATCATAGACGCGATGGACAGCCGAATGGGGATGAAGTCTGGCACAGCACACGAGGGGGTGGGTGGCCAGCACCACGCCCGACCGCCTTTTGTCTCCCGCGTGGCGGTGTTTACGCACCGCACCAGATAGTCACTGGAGGCTGAGTCGACCTAGGGGAGGCTCTGGACCGGGTCACGTAATCGTCACTGGTGTCGGTGGTCGTGAACGGGAATCGAACTCGGGTCGCCGGGCTCGTAGTGCAACGCGCTAACCGCTACACTACCGCTCCACGGAGCACACACAGACAAAAAATATTCCAATCTTTAGTCGTAAGACTGCAAGGACAAGTGCTCTTTGCGATCACCTGTTATTTGAGGAGCGGTCGTGCAGAGATTCGCACGCATTGCACACACGATCTTAGCTGCCTAACCTTTAAGTCTGAGTCCAATTCATGGCTCACGTAATTTCCCTACAATGTCAAATACATTTGTAACAAGTTCATCATCATCGTCGGCCGTACAGAATGAAGGTATCCCCACCATCCTCCCCGTTCCTGCGATGCCTAACTCGCCTTGCAATAGACGGCGATCGCATCTTGGAATTTGCGATGTGCTCACACAGTGGGATTGGAATTGCACACACTTCCTTTGCGCTGAGCTTACTCACCCCTTTTGTTAACACAGGGTCCACGATGGGTCACTCTCACCCCCCTAATGTCCCCTACTTTCTTTCTCTTTCTCACGGGAAATCCATGGCAAGGTGTGTGTTGTTGTTGTTGTAACGTTCCTACCCGCTCCTACTAGACATCTGTGAAAAAAATATTTTTAGCTCATCGGATTCCTCCAGTATAAATAAATATTCTGATTCTGATCGAGGCTTCCGGGATTAAACAACCCAAAAAAAACCCTGTAGAACGCTGCTCTCCGAGTGCGGCCGGGCGTGATGCTGGCTACGAGCTAACAGCACTTGCCCCAAAAGTCCGTTGAAGGCTATACGGGGGATGTTGGTCTTTTCATCGTTGGACACACACCAGCGCGCAGTGACATGCGTCGTATAAATATACAAAGGTCCTTCGTAAAAGCTGAGAGGCCGTACGGCCAAGCGATATGAGCGAGCACCTATTATTGCCGGAAAAAAAAAAACCACCACAAGATAGTGAGTGAGTTGCGTGGTCAGCTCCACGTGACCTTGCACTTGTATTTCCCGTTACACAATCGAGAGCTCTGACTGATGGACTCTTTATTGGGGGTGGGTCTGCTCAGGTAAAACGTTATACATTTGACGCCAAGACTCAGTAAATGTCAGCGCCTCCCCAGTACAATGTGGAACGTTGGTTCAAGGTTGGGTCAACGTTTCCAAGCATGTGCCAACGCTGCCTCAACGTTGGGATGTTTACTAGGTAACCACCTCAACCTCTCCGTTGCGTGCATCACGAGGTTGTCGGTCCACGAGAGACTGCACCATCTCTTCTGCTGCTCTTTGTTTCCATGTTCTTTTCATTTTCCTTCTTCATATTAGTACTATAGTCACCCTCGATCTGTTAATCATTTAATGTTTCTGCAGCTCAGTGTGTGTCATTTGTGTCGTGATCGATCTGGTGGTGGCAATCTGCCCGAGCCGATTTGTACGGCAGGGAATTTTAACATTTAACAAGAAACAGGTTTGACCGTAGCCTACCGTCACGGGCAACAGCACAATGTGGATTTTTTTTTCCCGAGTGCCTAAAGGTATACGGGGGGGGGGTGGGAGGTGGTCTTTGTATTTGCTTGAAATGAGACGCTTCTTAGCTGGGATGAAGGTCTTTAGTCTGCTCTTGCGGGGGCTTGTCAGCACGAATTGCCAAGGCATTCCAGACCACGGAGGGCAGCAGCAGAGAAGGGGTGACCACCCACTCTCTGAGCTAAGAGAATAAATGAGGGCGTCGTTCACCAGAGCGCAGCGGATAAGGGCGCGAATGACGGCAGAGTGAGCGTGTGCCATGGGAGGGATAAGCAAAAGGCGAATCTGTTCGATCAAACGTAACATTTTGAATCATTGTTGGCATACTCTTTGGTTCTTTCGGTAAAGTCAAGTAGATAAAAATAATACATTTTATTATTATTTTTATCTAGAATCATTGTTGGCAGTTTTACGAATACAACGTCAAAGATTCCACCTCCCTCCCCCCGCCCCCGTATAGCTTTAATAGACTTTTGGGGAAAGTACTGTTAACGCGAGCACCTATGACGGCAGACACGGCACGCGAGGGGGATGTGTCTCCCTCGTGGCGATGTGTTGTCAGACAACACCGCAGCAGGTACTCATCTGAGGCCGAGTCGACGTAGCGGAGGGTCAGGACCGGTTCAGATCATTGTAACTGGTGTTGGCTGTGAGCGGGAATCGAACCCTGGTGGACGGGTTTCTTAGCGCGACACGCTAACCGCTTACACCACCGGGTGATCTCACACACACACACACACCTCGAGTCAAATAAAACATATCTCAAGCACTTTGTTCATGTTGTGTGCTCTTTAAATGTTGCTCGATTCTTCGGATCAGGTCACGCCGTCTCAGAATAAACACAAACGCTCGGTTAATTAATGATCACAAATTGCAATGCGCACAAATTGACCTTCAAAAGAGAGAACAGTCCGCAGATTTACACTATGAGACCTCCTTTAGCAGTGGCAAAATATAGTAGTTGGGTTTTACCCTTTAAACTGGTACAAAACTGATACCTTTATACAAGGCCTCATGTTTGCAGTAACCACAACACAAGTAGTCAAAATGCAAACAAAAATAAACAACTCTGATGATGATAATGATATGCACTGTCCTTGAAGTTGATTGACTGCTTGTGTTGTGGTTATTGCAAACATGATGCCTTGTATAAAGGTGTCAGTTTTGTACCAGTTTAAAGGGTAAACCCCAACTACTATAGTCCGCAGATTCTGACGGAAGCGATGACGGGGACGCCGATGTACGGGGCAATTCGGTTCTATTCTTGCGTGTGATGGCAGTCGTCTGTTCAGGAGCTCGATGCCGCCAATGTCGAGGTCTGCCGGCCACGACGAGAGGGCTTCAGCAGAGAGTCCGCGTCGTGTTTGCGGTTCCTCCTCCACTGAAGGAGTGCAGACGACAGTGGGTTAGCCACGTGGTTACATGGCCACACATCGCAACTTCTGTGGCGATGCCTTTAATTTTTTAATCCTTTATATTAAGTTCGCTTGCTTGCTTAGGACCGTGCAAATCTTTCGGTCGTTTTTTAACCCACTTCCCGTGATCCAATCGAGCTGACATTTTCCACACAGACTCGTTGTGCGTGACAATTAATGTTCGTGAAAATTTTTTTCCAAAATTTTACACTTTTTAGGACAAAAATATTATATTTAATTACCAATTGCTTAATGGTGCAATGCAATCATCTCACCCATAGGTGGCAGCCATCTCAAGCCAGAGGACGAGAGGACTCTAGCCGCCACGCATATAAAGGATTTATAGTGAAAAACTTTGTTTTTACGGGATGTACTTATTCATTCATGAAGGCGATGGGGCGCAACGGCTTGTTGATGTTCTGACCGATAAAGGTGAAGGTGAGGGTGTGGAGGTTAAATTAGTGATTACGATTGTTTGGCTGGAACGGGTGGGTGATTGGGAAGGCGTGGGTACCTGTGGAGGGTTGATTGGGTGGTGATGCAGAGGGGGGTGGAGGGGGGGGGGGGCACGGGTTTGTAATAAGAGAGTGCGGGGAAGATGATTGGAGGGGTTATACATATGGAGGGGTAGGGATTAGGGGGTGGGGGTGAGCAGCGGGTTTACGTAGCAGTTTAATTGTAGGCGGAAATAAGAGTTAGCTGTCGCGATGAATCGTTGTGGTTTTAAAGGACATCTTGGGTTTAGCGTTCACACGCTCACTTAGGTAGTCAGCCGGTTATTTTTATCGTTTTGTGAGTGGTGGCAAACATTAATAACGAAATATCACGAAGTAGGAAGATGTGTTTCCGAGGTTATTACAATGTGAGTGATGGTTACGCCACCGGTGTCTTCTAAGCAATGTCAAAGTCGGGAGGCGTGTGTGATGTTTGGGTCTCAAACGAGGCGTTTATTCTGGACGTCCGCGTTGTTTCTTCTGGGTCCGGGTGAGATTCTGGGATGATTGACGGCGCGATCCCAGAAGGGGGATCGGAGATTTGAGACGGCGGCGATGAGCATTGTTGAGGTCTTGGTTGACGAGCTAACCGTGCAAACTCCCTTGCAATGTGCCTGTCTCTGCGGATATTCGGTGGCAGAA